AAAAAAAAGTGGATTAACATAAAGGAGAGAAATATGTTGGTGCCATTATTTGAATATTACCTTTTGTTCTCTCTCTTGTCATTTCCTGTCCCCTCTTAAATTTTCTCTTTATACTTTAAGACTCTGAGTGGTTGGGAAAAGATCAGAGAATAATTCTGACAATTGTCTAAACCAAGGGTCAGCAAACTTTTTTTTTGTAAAAGGCCAGGTAGTATTTTAGGCTTTGTGGGCCTCTGTTGCCTTTATAGTAGGAAAGCTGCCATAGACAATACATAAATGAATTCATGTACTTGTGTTTAAATAAAACTTTATTCACAAAAACAAGCTATGAGCCAGATTTGGCCCTTGGGCCATAATTTGACAATTCTTGGTCTAAACTAATAAAATGATTGTTAAGATACTTTCCTGCTTTTGTGTGGAATCAGTAATTTCAATTATAACACAGTACATTTCCTACAGAGTAAACTAAAATACCCAGTACACTAGGAAGAGAAATTTTAGGCTGGTGCAGAAGGTTTTATTTATATTGCATTAAATAAAAGCCATGACTTTCATTTAGTGATAAAGAAAAATAAAAATCAAGACTCCTTTCTTTCTGACAACCCCTACCAATCTATCAGCAAACATTTAGTCAATTTCTGACCACATATCACTGACTGGCACCAGTGACCACTAAGCCATCAACTGAGCTACCATCTTTTCTCACCTGAATTATTATAGTAACCTCTGAATAGGTCTACACCCTGCTTCTACGCTTGCCTACCTCTACAGTCTATTTTCAATACTGTAGTCATAACCTGTTTAAAGGTCAGTCATATAACTTTACCCCTTTGCTCTTAACATTGAATAGACTCTTCATCTCACTCAGTCAAACTGAAAGTTATTACTTTGACCTACAATGCCCCAAACAATTTAGCCCTCTATTACCTCTTCGATTTCATCTCCTACTATTGTCTTCCTTGCTTACTCTACTTCAGTCACACAGCCTTGTCACTAAACCCTGAACCTGCCAGGCATGTTCCTACTTCAAGATGTTTGCACTTGATCCTTCTTCCTTTGGAATGCTCGTTTCCCAAATACCCAACCACATCCAAATGTCTTTGCTCATATGTCACCTTCTCCATAAGTCTTTCCCAAACTAGCTCACTTAAAAATTCCAGCACCCAA